TCCCTTTCGCTACGCTGAGGAGTTTAGGTTTCAAGAACGAAGTAGTTCCAGCCTGCTCCAAACACCTGAACGGCTGCTCGGAAGATGTCAGAGAGACGGGCGGGCAAACGAGACACCGCCGAACGAGCGAGATATGCGCTCCATTAGATAGTGGTATTTGTGGGCAGGATCTACTCACTTCCGGACAAGTGGGAGTTTGCACAGCCGCAGCCAAGAAGTAGGGATTTCCAACGAATTCCAAACGCAAACCTAAGCACAACAAAACGCAGTCATCGACGTTCTGAAATGCCGTTATCGATGCGCTGAAGTGCTCTCACCCCCAAGAATTCACGCAGCTGAGCTACGGTCATGCTGCAGTGGGTATCTGTAGGCAGCCGCGAAAAAACCGTGCGCCCGAAGTTATTCGTTTCTCCGGATGTCAGTGTCCGCCGTCCTCGTTTAGCGGGGACTCGCGGGGCGAGCGACGGCAGGGAGTCCAGCTGTTCTGGGAAGTCAGACTCCCACGGATGCAATGTTCACGGGCAGAGTTTCCCACAGCCTACTTTCACCGCGACTTCAGGGTTGGCGATGACCCCTGCGTATCGACACGATACAGGAGGGGAGAGAGTAAACGGCATGCACACTTAACGGAGTTGCTGTCGTCCTGTTTCCAATACCTAAGGGTGTGCCATTAAATGGCACGAACGATACGAGAGGAAGAGGTTTTGTATGCATACCAATACACACATGGGTGTTTTGCATGCAATAGACTATCCCAATGCATTTAAAGGTGTTGATTGTTGTGTGTCTTAACGCTGGTCCAAAGTAGGCAGGCGCCTTCCGATGTCATAAACCAACGACCACAACCCGAGGGGGCACACGTACGCTGCTGGAAATCAATTACTTGTGACAAAAAAAATCGATCAACCCAGGAGAGAGAGGTCGACGTACGCATACAGGAGGAGGGTGCACCGGGAGCCAGAATTGAATGATATTGGACCAACCCACACAATGGTAGATTACGTACATTTGCACATCTAGATGGCAGCAGTCCATACCAGTACTGCAGACAGCAGAGATATGTATCGTCTACAGCGCGTCGTTGCACGACTACGAGGTCGCTATCTACCCGTACGGTGACATACCTGTGTTCGAAGTGACGCGACTTGTCGGAGCGCAACCGGACAGGTGTCGTTGAACTCCTTCCTCAGGACAGAACACGACAGGGCGAAGCGTCATGTCTCGAGAGCGGTCTAGCAACGCCGTCACCTCAGCTTCGGTCCAGGGGGTTGACCCAACCAGATCTTCCGTCACATCCACACGCGTGGGGAACTGCCCACCCTGCTTTCGCAGGCAGAAATCCGTGGCTTTTGCCTTTCCAATCCCGGGAAACTTGCTGTACAGCAGTCGTTGCCTGAGACGGATGCCCACAGCTGCAGGCGGGCCATCACCTCATCCGGTCGACTCGACCACCACACTGCATCTCCCGACCCGCCTTGGTCGACACCGTGCAACAACCTTAGGAACTCATGCCCATGCGTCGTGCCAGCACGGAGGGCATGCATCTGCGGGCGCGTGATACCCTCATGCGTGAAGATGTTACCGAACAGTCGCCCTTCTTTCGACACGACCTCCCAGAGCAGGGAACGCACGCCGATGACCATGAGGTCGCTGTCATTTCCACGTACCAGGACACGTTTCCCCACGCGTGTAAACATCTCCTCCAAGACACGCAGCTGCGGGTCGGCCTCATAGGGCGCGGTTATGCACTCGCATCGTAACGCACGTGAGACCCTGGCGACGATGTGACTCGTAAACGTATCGCCTTCACAGCTGCTTTCTGTAGACCTGGATCCTGAAGCGGCACGTTGGACTCCCGTAGACCCAAGCACTGCTGCCGTGCCCGCTCTCTCTCGCTAGACCTCGAACGCGTGGTTGCCCCTTTGCCGGGTGGAGAAGCCCCGTCAAAAACCACGGTGATCCCCACCCTGCCGAAGCAAGCTTGTTCAGGCTTGGGCCATCGACATCGCGAGGGAGACGACGTTGTCGTCCAGCACAAGAGGAACTGCCACGCTCCCGATGCCAGCAGGTTTGTGCTACGCAAAATTACCGTCGACGACCAGGTGCTTCTGTCTCGTACCATCTTCGTCGTCGAGAGGTACCCTCTTAGAAGCTACCTCCTTCAGGTATGCCGACAATCCGCTCACTCCCATGGCACTCCGTTGGAGGTAAGGATGTGCTATCGCGCAGCCCAGCCGTGCTCCTGCTGCGTGGAGGTAGGTGACAGTCCTTTTTTTTATCGTTCGGTGTTGTTGCCGTTGGCAGTCTGTTGGTTCTTTTTGGAACGACCATACATCATATACATCGCCCTTGTGGGATGTGACTGCAGCGTAATCTTACGATTGGACGCGTGGCCAATGGCCACGATGTCGTTGGAACATCGCCAGACATCCACACAGGCTAACCCGCATGGGTTGCATCCCAGATCCTCGCCTCCCTGGGTAGGCGGTGGAGTGTTGACTCGTGGACGGGGTGTATGACGTACCGGTCTATTCGCTTGTGCAGCTAGAACCAACGCACGCGCTTTCGTTCGTGTGTCAGCTTCCCTCCTCCCTCTTTCGTGCGCCCCCCCCCCCCCTCGTGGTTTTGTGGCAAAGTAGTAGGCAGGAAAAACATATGTATACAAGTGCTTGGCGTCCCAAGGGTTTATACTGGATACACATCTGAAGGAAGCCAACGAAATGAGGTGTCATTGTCTTTCATCACCTTGGTAACAATGGACAATTTCCACATATGCAAGCAAGGAACCAACACACCAATACTAGACTAGAGCAACGTATTGACTTCGTGTGTGCCCCCGAGGTCTGGATTTCAAAGCCTACAGGAAACTACCTACTTTTTCGCGCTTTTCATGGCGTCCATCCGGGCGTTAGAAACATGAGAATGCATACGAACCCGATTTCTTAATATTTTTGGGGCCCGTCGTGGTTCTTGCGGGTTATTCGTCGATTATTGAGCTATTTGCAAGACCGAGCGACCTTCAAACTGTCTAAAAAAAAAAAAATGTAAAAAAAACGGGTGCTCCTTGCGCGGATAGGGAAAAAAAAAATAACCGCGTCAACGCTAATCCCAAAGCGCTAATATTTTTCTACTTTCATTCTCCCGCATGGGAAAATACAGCAACATGCCACCACACTATGAACGAAAATACCCCACAACTAGATAGAATCGTGTAACGCTGGACGTTTCGAAGAAAAAACACCCTACCAATATGCGATATGTGACGCGAACGTCACTGCCGTTCCGACAAAAAGCCTATAAGAGGTTGTGCATCATGCAGCTGCCGGGGTTTTGGGGTATGAAACTCGGCGCTGCCGCGGGTGGTGGGCGGGGTGCTGCATGAAAGCCGGGGGCCGCGCCGTAGTATGGGTGGGCAGGCGCTTGCATGGGGTGAGCGGCAGCCGGTGAGCGGCAGCCGGTGGGACGGCCTGCTGATTGATGTCGGTCGCTGCCAGTGTCTGCTTCCTGTGTATTGTGTGGGCAATCACGCGTCAATCGACCGCAAAGGGAAGGGAACAACATGTGTTAGAAGGGGGTAACCATCCGTTCTCTTGCGAACGGGGTTTTGTCCACCCAAGACTCGCAGAACATCGACACCGGAATCTCAAGCAAACAATACCATCTTCTACGCACCTCGGGCGGCCCCGCTTATGTTTCTTGGGAGGAGAGGGCGTCTCGGCGTCGCTCGAGGAAGAAGACGGGTCGGTGGAAGACGGTAACGGTGATGGGATCTCTCTGTGCTTCTTGCTCCTCGACGACTTCGACGGCGCCTTCTTGGAGCGCCCGTGTACGATTCCCGGTCGGGACGGAAAAACAAAGCTAAGAACAGAAACGGGCGGTGACTGCAGTAACCGTCACATCACTCAAACCGAGGACATGAGCCAAACATGTACAAATCTTGTGCTCGACGGAGCTACTCTGACCGACCCCGCTGTCCGAGGTGGCTAACTGGTTCGGAGACAACTTACCGGATGGGTGTCGGGTCCGGGGGCGTCGCAGCCGGTTTTGTGGCGGATACAGTCCCAACGATGTAATTGGCCATGGCCATCAGTCGAGGTTCGATCAACCCATACACTTTTGCGGCAACGTCGTCGACCAGCTTCGCATGTTGCGTACCGTCCAGCGTCACCTGTGCCCGAATGAGATTTGGGTGGGGTGGGTGGGGAGGGGCGTCGTGCAGGAGTGAGGAGAATGTCGGCATCAAATGGTGCTAAGGCGAGTACACATGGGAAACCAAAACCACACACACGCCGAACATTCGTAGTGGATTGACAGCTATCCTCCTATTTCGAGGACCACCTATTCGAACGCCGTAGTCCTGACAAAACAGAGACGGCAGATTAATCATCTCTAACAGCAGGTACCCGACTCTGTCGCGAGCGAGATAAGACCAAGGTGCTGGCGACACATCTAGCAGGCAGGTTTTGACATACGAAACACCCGCGAAAACGGGTACCGATTACGCAGTCATGTCAAGGCGACTTACAGCAGTAGTGAAACGGTAAACACAACCTACACAGCATACGTCGTTTTGTGGCCCGCAACGCCTCCTGCACGTATATTGCTTCCCGGCGCCTATGCCCCCAGCTTAAAATCGCCAACTTCAAGGCAACATACGCGCATCACCTGACGCTCCGGCTTGTCCAGCTATACCCCCGGTGTTGAACTTTCCCGGCGGTGCGGGTGAAAGCGGCGTTCCGGCACCTCCTCGAGATCGAAGGCAAAGGGTCGAGGGAGGCGAGGTAGGTTTGATACCACATTGAGATTCGACAAATAAAAAAGCGTATCTTTCTTTTCCAGGTCCGCGTTGTGCCCTGTCTAGAACACCTCTACCCGACCTGATCACAAACTCCAGCTGGGGGAAAACGCCACAGCCCCCAATATATCCTAGTATACAGCAGTACATTGAGCATCTTTCTATGCGGCATTCCAGTGCATCTCGGTTCGCACACATGCTCATCTTAAACATCTTGCACCAGAACGGCTTCACACCCCAGCTTGCCTGTGTTTCCAAGAAAATATGCACATATACAACTATTAATTGTAGTTCGCACAAAAATATGTAGTCTGCGTTTTATCTGGATATCCACGGCCCGAAATTCAAATTCCAGCTTTTAAAGGGGAAGCACACATACATGTGAGCATCACCTGGCGTGTCTGCATGTCCAGCTTGACCCCCGGATGAGGGCGTCTTGGCGGCTTCTGCTGCAATCAAGGCCGAAGGCAAAGCGTGGAGGGCTCAGATAGAACAACAACTTTGTTTGCTGATTTGAGGGTTGACACACACCTCCGAAAAAAACGTTTTCTTTTTGCCCCACCGCAGTCTGCGTTCCTCTCCGACGTTCATGTCCTACAAGGTGTATCTGATTTCAAATTCCAGCGTCGGTGCAAAGCCCTAGATCCCGCTTCTCTCCTAGTTTCTTGCACCAGCATAGCATGAAACTCCTGCTTGCCTGCACCCCTCCGGTCCTTCCAAGACTGTAAGTATGTAGTTCCCATTGAAACAGCAGTGCGTCGCTCTTTCTTTCTAACGCGACACGTCCGGGAATTCAAACTTCAGTTTTGAGGAAGCAAAGGGTTAGCCTCTAAAAGTACTACCGCTGTGACACTGACCTGGACCAGAAGGCGATTTCCGGGAGCTGGCCGCCCCTCCGCCGTCTAAGCGAGGATCACGTGGTATGTAGATTTCTGAGGAGGAAGCGGTTGTGGAAGTTGCTGTGTGCAGATCCGCTTGCGGCGTACGGAGCTTCTCCTTTCCTTTGCTTGCTTCACCGCCGTTGGCCCCACCTGTCCGACAGGGACGAGACGGAAACATCGACATGTGGTTCGGAAAAAGACGATACCACAACGAACATGTGCGCAGCTACATTTCATGCCTTGCTACCTGAACGAACTCGTTCCCGACAGCTCTACTGATAGGCACAGCAGACGGCGGTCATCCTCCGCGCTATTGCTTTGCATGTGCCCCCCACCCACATGCCTGAAAAATTTCAACTTTTTTGAAAATGGACCTAACGGCTCCACTCGACACAGCACCTACATGTACATAACCCCCCCCTCAGTAGATTCCAAGATAACGTGCTCGACACACAAACCTGCTTGCTCGGGACGGCAGAACGTGCAGGCGTGGCCCTCGTTGACCACTTGCATGCATACGGCGTGGCAAGCAGCCTCGCACGAATGGCACCGGCCGCTCAAGGCTCCATCTCCTCCCTGATTGCATCGACCGCCAGCGGCGCACTGCGCCGTGTTCAGGATCGCCTGTCCCTCTGCTGAAGCCCCAGCTGCGGACACCGACCCAGCAGCAGGGGGCTCACCGACGGACTGCTGTACCCCCGTGCCCGCGGGCACCGCTCCTGACCCACGCCCAATGCAACCGTTGCGGCCGCAGTATTGGTGATCCCAGTCGCGGCACGAAGAGTGCGTGGAATAGGTGCAGCGTTGTAGACACATCTGGATTTCTACCACGGGGGCCTGCAGGTTCTTGCAGCCTCCTTCCTTGGCACGGTTTCCCTGATGAAACGGGGACCATCCTGTCCCCTGTTGTGTCGCCGTGAGAGGGTGTGCCAACTGCTGTGGGAGGTGGAGGGTGTGTGCCCTCGCTCGTGGCGAGGCTGCTGTAGAATGTGTCTTCTTCAAGAAAAAATGCGGATAAAATAAATTTAATTGTTTTGTACCACCACACCCCCTCCGCCCAGAGCATTTTTTTTGGTGCGGGGGGTCCTGTTGCAAGTGGTCCATGACTGCTGGATCTTGGGAACGATTTTGAAATTGTTGGGAACCACAATATCCTCGATATCTGGGCTTCGGCAGGGATTGCAATACCCCTCCCTTTTGCTGCCCTCTGCTCTTTGCAGCAGCAGTGGCTTCCTACGTTCGGGCGAGTGCATGTGTGGTGCTGCGAAAGAACACAGATGTATGTATGTATGTATGTATGTATGTATGTATGTATGCACACACGCGTTCATTGACATGTGCACACGGTGAGACATTCATGATTTGGCATTGATTGGCCCCACTCCCATTCCCGAGACCTTGATATTACCCGCCGCTGTCACTGACGTCTCTTCATTGGTCAGCCGGTTAGCGCGGGTCCTAATAATCTAGACACACCTACCTGTGGACTTGCCAATATACGGCGCAGGGCGGCAATTCCACGACTTGCCACTACACTAGCATATGCAAAAGATCAATCAATGATCAGTGATAACGCCTGAAGACTCAAAACGGTTAACACCCCCCATCATATATTCGGAATTTATTTGATTTAGAACGACCTCCCGCGGAGATGCGGAGAGGGCGGAGAGGCCTTTCACAACTCCTGTCCTGAAACGCGCGTGGTCGGGAGCAGCTCCAAACGGCCTCAGGCGACCTTCTGTGGCGGTGAGCACGTACCCTGGCATGTAGTAGAGGTGCAACCTTAGCTTGGCAGCTTGGCAGTGGGTTTGGGTCCCCGCCGAGAGAGAAGCAACCCGCCCGCAATTTTGCCAATTTTTGAGAGGGCCGACTCGTCCATGTGTAGGCTTCCTCCGGCAAGAACACACACAACCTCACCTTGCACTGCTGCTGTACACGCCTCCACAGCACGCCCATACATGTATATGGCGAGTCTCTAGACGTGAGCACTCCTCCTGCCTTCCTCGGGGGCAGGTTCCTTTGAAGTAGAGCTGGATGCGTGTGTGCGCAAACAACATGGCGAGCGAGGTTCTCGCATCCACTTCTTTCTGGGAAACAAAAATAACACGCATGCACGCGCAAGATGCAGCCACGCGTCCGTGCGGTCACCGCCGTTCTGATTGCTGGCCGCTGATGTCTTTGGTTGCATTGTCATTGTTCGAGGTCAGGTAGATACTCACGAAATGAGGGCAGTGGGTAGGCAGCAGCAGCGCCATCCTAACGCCCTCTGTCGTGCTGCTCCGGCCTGTGTTCCTGTGTTGGACTGGTTCTAACAACATTCGCGAAATTGAGAGCGAAGCGTGAAATTGAGAGTGAGATTGTTTATTGGAAGATAGAATAGAACAACAGGCGCACGATTCCTGGAGAGCCAAATGTCTACTGCCTCTGAACCAGCCTCCCGCATGTAGTAACCAGCAGTTGAGCTATGTCATGGCGGTGTCAGACGTGGGCAGAGCGATCAAGAACTTTGGTGGCGTCAGAAGAGAGGGTGCAGAGCAACGGGAAGTGAAGCTACATGGTTCGGACATATTTGTGTCGCACGAGTGTGCATTTGTGTGCATGATGTGAGCATGGTTGTGAGCTGCATGAGGTCCGCCTGCCATCAAACGCCAGACGAAAAGCCACAGCGGTGTGGGACGAATACACAGCAGCAGTAGGCATGGACATGTGACAGCACCAATCAGTATGACACACTGGCTGCACCATGTTATCCCAGATCATCAGGACACTGGTGTAGAAGGAATCTCTCTGTCAATACTGAGTCTTGGGTGTAGACGCGACAAGATGCGTCTGCTCTGGAGCGAGCTGAGTGTTGCACAAATATGTTCGACATCACATCACACACATAAAAACACCCACCCACCATGCAGGTCTCCAGCTGACAAAGAAAAGCCAGACTGAAGAAAAAAAAAAGCAACGGCCGTGGGAGACAAATACATAGGCATAGATGTGACAGCACCGGCTCGACACAAAGGCCGAACCATTTCATCTGAGATCACCAGGACACTGGTGTGATAAGGATCTCCCTGAGCGTGCCGAGTCTCGGGTGTAGACGCGAAGAGATGCCTGAGCTCTAGGTGCGAGAGTGCTGTGAAGAATGGAGCAAGAGCAAACAATTGCCGACGAATACATGTTGCATTTTCAATACTCCACTGTCTACGTTTCCCAAAGGAATGTTCCGAATGGTTGAACCCTGCTTCCGAAAAAAAAATCAATGTCTGGCGGATAAATAATGCTTCTGAGTTTATTTGGTGATTTGAAAGGTCGTGTCAGCAAGGAAGGGTGTCGAAATGTGTTTTGAACGCAGCAAACGTTTTCATTGGCTTGCCTTTTCTGCTTGCATTCAACCGTTGGACTCTTTGCACACCAGTGAATGTTGTTTTGCGTGTTTATATTGTTCATCCACCGAGACACTCTGTCCAAATAGCCACAACACGGTTTCCTACACTATCTAATTTGGCAAGAAGGAGGAGCCCCTCTTTCCAAATAAGGCGCTACAAAGGGCTCATCTGGAAATATCGATACAATGACCGAAAGACCGACAGATTATGCATACATAACCATAGGGTCGAGATATTATCACACACATCAACCGGATGTATAAACACGCAAGACGGCAGAGAGAGCTATCGTTGTGTTCCCGTGCAACATCGACTCGAAGCAAGTGGAAGCAAGCAAGACGATGTTCAAAGAGTTCACATCGAACGCATGATGCATCAACCTCTCTCTGGTAAATGTTGTAGGCAGTGTATCTTCTCCTGCACGTATGTTGATATCAGCGCCGGCCACACACGCGACCATCATCATACGACACTACCCTGCCAAGAGACAACTCTTGGTGCACGTACTGACTGCACAACAACACAAGCAACAGCAGTGTTTCTTTCGTTGTTCAAACAGCTGATGATGATGTGCACAACAAAATCAGCGGGAAAACATTTTGTCGGTTTGGTTCCGGTGCTCGCACGCACCTATACATAGATAGAGATCACACCGGTGGCCACTCGGCTAACCTTGGGGACCCCTTGGCAAGGTGGTCAACCCTGTAGGCACCCTGTGGAGGGGTTGCACAGGGTGCATAGCGACTACAAGGTACCGGAAAGGACCTTGGTAAGGTCTTCGAGGTTGTGGGGGGTCGAGGTCCATCATCCCATTCTACCTTGCACCTTACGACACCCTGGGGTAGGTTCTCGTCCATACCCTGTTAGGGTCGGGGTGTTAGCAAGGTGGGGGGCTCGGGTCTTGGCAAGGTGCTGCGCCGTGCTAGGGTTGCCAGTCATGAACCTGCTACACATCACCACCCCCTGTACGGGTTGGGTCATGGGGCCTTGTCAGGGTTGCGCCTCCTACAAGGTAGTATGGGTTACACAGGGTTGACAATGAAGACCTTGGGCTACCCCCCCCCCCCCTGTGCAGGGTGAAAGGGACATCGCCCTGCCATCATTTTAGGCCTTGGCAAG